CAGAGACTCAAGACGATTATGTCTATCTCAACGAGACTATAGAAAGTGTTGGAAAGATTTGAGATGATCAATGCAAAGCATGTGAGCACTCCTTTGGCAAATCATTTTAAGCTTTCTTCGGAACAGTGTCCTAAGACTGATACAGAAATGGAAGACATGACAAAGGTTCCATATGTCAGTGCAGTTGGCTGCTTGATGTATGCTATGGTATGTACTCGTCCTGATTTGGCTCATGCTGTTAGTCAAGTCTGCAAATACATAGTTAAACCTGGAAGGCGACATTAGGAAGCAGTCAAGCGGATTTTCAGGTATCTGAAGGGTACTGTAGAACATGAAAATATTTTTGGCAGTCAGAAGAATGATTCTTTAGTTGTGGGGTACGTTGATTCAGACTATGCAGGTGATTTGGATGACAGAATGTCTGCAACTGGGTATGTGTTTACTCTTGGTGGAGGGTTTATATGTTGGAAATTAATAATTCAGTCTATTGTGGCACTATTTACAACTAAAGCTGAGTATATGGCAGTAGCTGAAGCTGCAAAAGAAGTCTTATGGCTTGCTTGGCTAGTAAAGGAACTGGGTGTTGAGCAAGGTGGAGTTCATGACGCTGCTAAAGAAGCCTTATGGCTTGTTGGGCTAGTAAAGGAACTGGGCGTTGAGCAAGGTGGAGTTCAGCTGCATTGTGACAGTCAGAGTGTTATTTATCTGTCTAAGAACCAGGTGTACGATGCGAGAACCAAGCACATTGATGTCAGGTAACACAAGATCAGAGAGTTGATTGCTTCTGGGGAGATACTGTTGCAGAAGGTTCATACTGATGAGAATGCAGCTGATATGTTGACCAAGTCAGTTACTATCAACAAGTTCTTGCATTGCTTGGACTTGTTGAATGTTTGCAGTTGCTAGAGAAGCATGGTGGCCCAACCCACAGTGGTGCAGGTGTAACTACCAGGTATTCTTTTCCTAAAGGGCTGGATATTCGCCAAAGTGAAGATTTGTTATGGTATGACTCATATACCATATCGGGACAGATGCTGGATCGAAGCGGAGCGGAGCGGAGCGGAAGAATCTGTCCAAATTGAGAAGTTACGTGGGTTGGGATGCGGGGGAAAAACCCCGCGGTATGGTACAGGGGTAATGTTGTAATTACATATTGTGCCTAAGATTTACTCATGGGGTTATAAATAGGTCTGTTAGTAACCCCAGGAGGTATCCCTGAATTCTGTAACATCTTTTCTGAATATTGAAAGGAACTCGTCGCTCTGCTCCCGAGGACGTAGGCATCTTTGCCGAACCTCGTTAAAATCTCCGTGTTCTTCTGGATTTGGGTCAATTACTATTTTTCTTCGCCTTAATTTTGTCAACAGAACCTTAATAGACTGGAGAAAACTTGTGAACACGCCGTAGAGAAGAATTATTCGGATAACAGCATAAAGTGAGCTTATTTAAAGAAGAGTTATTCGGACAATATGTAAACTATGATGAACTTGATTTTACTCTTTTTAATTTAAAGAGAAAGTGAGGAACCATAGGCCTTAGAAAACTTGAACTTTCCGTACAAGAAGAGCCACACAAATGGTATAAGTTGAGCTTGCTTTCTGTTGAGCTTGCTTAAGAAAGGGAGCCAAGTTTCCTTTGCAGAGTTTTTATGGACAACCTTCATTCCCTGAAATAAAAATAAGAGGTATTTACTCATATAACACTACAGTCTATTGTATTTCTATATCTAAAACTTTAATTTTTTACATTCATACCTCACAAATCTTTCATATCACACCAACAACTGCACCATTCAGACTTATAAAAAGTGAAATACACTTTTATCATGAATATAAAAGATGTCATATATGTTAAAAATGAAATTTAGATGTTACATTTCTAAATACATAGGAATTACGTTATATCTGCGTAAATAATTCTAAAATTTGTTTTATTCTTGAGATAATTATAAACAAACCAATTGAAACATTGATATTTACAAATTAGCCAGCAAGATGATTTTTTCTGGATCACTGAACTGAAATATTTATATTTGTAGGATCAAACTATTGAGAAATCGTTAAAAATGAAAATATGGATGTAGGTGTTATAATGAATTTTTGATATTTGAGTAAGAATTTGAAAAATATATGAAAGAGAACTGTTGATTTATAAATAGGAATTTTGGGTGGTCTGTATGCATCTGTCTTTATATTTTTAGGGAGATGACATTTGAAGTATTCTAAGATATTTTTTGCATGTAGGAGTAAAAGAAAAAAAAAGACCAAAAGACCTTTTTTTTTATAGGGGATAGGTGTGAATCACAAGGTATTTCTTTAGAAAAAATTTTGTTAGTAAGTTCAAATTTGAGTTGATACGACAACAACAACAACAATAAATTTGAGTTGATTTTGAAGGGAAAAAAATTACTATGATATACCTCGTATTAGAATACATTTAAAAATCCAATTGTTTTGAGATTAGCATTAGATAATTGAAGGATTAATATAACATTAACATCAAAATAAGTTAGATGCTTTTGAGAACCATTTTGATACAATCTATAACAATGTATTTCATGACTATGTATTGAGTTTTAAACGAGTAGCGTTGAGATCGAGTCATGCCCAACTCGAGCTTAGCTCGTTTGTCAGAAGGCATGCTTATACTAGGCTTGTAGTACAAACAACAAACTTCTGAGCCAATTTACAAGCTCAAATAAAATTTTAATGAGAGCACATCGATATGGCTAGCTCTCGAGCCAACAAGCTGAACCTCGATGAGTTCAAGCGTAGATTATAAGCGTAGTTCAAGCTGAACCTCGATGAGCCAACAAGCTGAACTTCGTAAGCTTGTTAACGAGCCGATCAAACTTATTAAATTGTCAAAAATAATAAAAATGACATATATAGTGTACGTTTAGTTGATTTTTTTATTATTAAAAAAACTCTTATATCCGTTTAATGGACAAATAATTGTCAATACTATTACATACGAAGTCTAGGCGTTATTCTACGTTCGAGCTACACAATCCAAATTTGCCCAACATTAGCATTTATTAAATAAGCTGTACGAAATATCATTCTTTAGAGAGAGGATGCAATGAAACAGTAAAAATTATTTGAAATCATAGATGCAGAAGATACCAGCCACCGGGGGTGTAAACGAGTCGAACACGAGCGAACCCAGGCTCAAGGCTCAACTCTTGTTTGGCTCGTTAAAAAATACCACTTTTCATGTTCGGTTTGTTAATTTTTTCGAACACAAAAAATGTTTTTGTGTTCGGATAGTTTGCTTAGAGAGACGAACACAAGCTGTTCGCGAACAATATGTCATTTTGACATCCCTAGTCACACAGCCGTAGGAGGTTAAGGGTTGCAACGATATAAATCTTATTATTTATATCAAAACAATATTTATATATAATTTAATATATCTTTATTGTATTTTTTAATTAACAATTTTAATTATTATAAATATTTCTAGCCTTGTAGTCAATTATTTTTTTTTTAAAGTTCAACTTATCAATTATATATATATTATACCTCATTATGTGTCATCTCAAGGGCAGCAATGGTCTGAAAAAATGCCCTGGTGAGCCAATGGTGTTCGTTTTTGGTGCGCAACCCAGTTTTTGAACCTAAACAATAAACTATATATCACGACCAGGCCAACGCCCCAGCTCCCACTCGAAATATAGTTGAATTCCAACATCTCAACCCTCTAATCATGACTTTTATGTATCTAGGGTTTTTGTACATCTCGACAAAACTCAAACAGCCCAAAAATGTACTTACAGGATGTTTTTACTCCACTGAGATGCACAAAAAACCCTAGAAATATAAAAGTCATGATTTGATGGCCAAGATCAAGAAATTTGGCCAAATTTACTATGACAATTAGTCACCTGTGGCAATAGCACGGAATCCTATTTTCCATGCTCGAATGAAGCATATAGAGATCGATTACTGTTATGGTATGACTCATATACCATATAAGGACAGATGCTGGAACGAAGCGAAACGGAGCGGAGCGGAAGAATCTGTCCAAATCGGAAAGTTACGTTATGCGGGTTGGGGCTATACGGTACATGGATAATTTGGGAATTACATATTGTACTGTAGGGTTTACTCTAGGATTATAAATAAACCTGTTTGTAATCCTAGGTCTTTGAGAGAGCTGAATCTTGTATTATTTACTCTTTTCTGAATATTGAAAAGGAGGTCGCCGCTCTACTCCCGAGGATGTAGGCACTTTTGCCGAACCTCGTTAAATCTTTGTGTTCTTCTGTATTTGTGTGGATCTTGTTTTTCTTCGCCCTAATTTCTCAACAAGTGGTATGAGAGACAGGTTTGAGGGCAGAAAAGAAAAAGTTTCAGTACAGCAGTAGAAGAAAGCCAGTTTGCGGTACAACAGTAGAGTTTGCTAGTTCGCGGCTTCGGTACAGCAGGAGAATTCGTGAATTGCAAGATGTCGCGATTGGCGACTACAAGGTTCTTGCGGAAGGCGGCTGGGCAGAAGGGAGGAAAGGAATCTTTCCTTCTGTGAGTGGATCTAAAAAGGAAGAAAGTTTTGCAAAGGATGGTTCGGCGCATTCGTGAAAGGAAGGTTCTCTTGGAGAAATTGGAAGGAATCTTCCCATTTGTTTCCTTAGCTGGTTCAATTCGTTTCCTTTGGAGGCTGCAGAGAAGAAAAAAAGAAGGAAATCAATAAATTCTTTTCCCGCTGAAGAAAGAAAAGCTTTTGAATTTTACTTAATTAAAGGAAAGTTGTTTTTAATTAAGTTGATTTAAAGAAAATATTTAATTAAGAAAACTTAATTAAAATTTTCTTTATTGGATCTGCGGAGATGAGATTTCTTTTGCTGGAGGTTTAGGAAAGGAAATGATTTGAAATTCAGTTAATTAAATGAAATATTTAATTAAGGAAATATTTCAATTCTTTTTTTTTTAAAGATTTTGTTGCTTCTCTGGGAAACATAATTAAGGGAAAATCATTTTTCTTGGAAACTTAATTAAGGTAAACTTAATTAAGGAATCTTAATTAAGAGATTATTTTAAAAGATTTGTGGCAGAATCAAAGTACAATTTCTGGCTCAACAAGGAATCTTGCGGAAAAGAAAATTTGGAAGTATTTTTTGAATTTCTTTGGCTGGAGAAAGAAAATCTTGGCTACGGCGCAGAAAAATATAAAATTTTGCGGATTGTTCGCAAGGCAGACAGGCTCGCGGGAACGAACAGATGCGAAGCAGTTCGGATAAAGGGCTACGGCAGTTCGGCGAGTTATGCTTCGGGGAGTTCGCGATAGAGGCGGCATCGCGACTTCGAGGCGCGGCAGTTCATGAACTTTCGCGGCATTAGGCAAGGTGGAGTTAGCGAAAAGGAGTTCGTGTGCAGTTACCGCGAACAGGAACGTTTGCAAACAAAGGAGTTTGGTGATGTTCGACCAGCGGAGTTTGCAAGTTCGTCACATGAGGAGTTGCGACAGGTGGAGTTCGGTAGGGTGCTGGCGAGCGAGCAGACGTGATTATTCGCGAACAGTGGTTTCGTGGAGGTATTTCGCGAAGGGTTTAGCTCACGGGACAACAGTTTAGCCGAGGTGCTAGCGCGAACAAGAAGATTGCTTCAACACACATTTGTGCATAAGAAACTCCATGATATTTTTCTCCTAAGGAGCTGGATATTCGCAAGGTAGAGATTTTCTCCTAAGGGACTGGATGTTCGCAAGGTGAAGATTTTCTCCTAAAGGGCAAGATATTCGCAAGGTGGAGATTTTTCTCCTAAAGGATTGGATATTCGCAATGTGGAGATTTTCTTCTAAAGAACAGGATATTCACAAGGTGAAGATTTTTCTCCTAAGGGATTGGATATTCGCAATGTGGAGATTTTCTCCTAAAGGGCTGGATATTCACCAAGGTGGAGAATTGTTAGGTATGACTCATAATACCAGAATTTGGAGTCTCTTGGAATGAAGAGACGTCTCCTAGAATTAAAGGGGTGTGTCTCTTGGAATTTAGTGGGTTGAGATCAGCGAGGGCGCAGCTGAAGCATGATGGCCTAACCCACAAGGTGTAACTCCCATCTCCCATGTATCTTTTCTCCTAAGGGGTTGGATATTCGCCAAGGTGGAGATTTGTTATGGTATGACTCATATATACCATATAG